GTTTTTGGTAATGTCTATCACGTGAAATACGAAGGCTCAATATAGATTTAACGGGGTCACAGGACGGAGAGTAAATGACTTAAAACAAATCAAGTCAGAATTTTGGAGAAATCCACTATCCACTCAGATGAAGCTAATTTGCGAATCTCTGCCACCAAACAAAGATACAGTTAAGTGAAATTATTAAAGTGTTTTTTTCAAAATCAATGCTTTTCTACACAAATTTACATCTTACCTGGACGCCAAGCCTTCGCCGTCGTTAATGGATGGCAGTAGATTGACGCGATCCGATCGCGTAAGTCGACAGATGATGCGAGTGGGGCCGGTAGCCGCATTGGGAGGAATGAAGAAGCGCATCTCAGGCAGGCGTCGGCTCTGCAGCATACCCCCGCGAGCATCGACCAAGAAGGAGACAAGGAAGCTGAGAAAACAAATGAGTGGGAAGAAATATGAAGGAATCAAGACTTCGTCAAATAGCACATCGCCATAAATTTGATAGATGCTTTACGAATCACGAGGCGAAATTTTATTGTCCTTTAGATTCTTCATTTTATAAAAAATATTCACAGCTAAAAAGCTATTAGATGTATGACCTCACGCATATGAAAATATTTGGCCCAGTAAAAAGATGAATCCAACATAGGGGCAACAAAGCTATCTCGAGAAAATTGATCTGCAATGTTTATATGCATAGTTATTTGTGAATGCTAGTAATGCATGATTGCGTTAAAGAAAAATTTACCCAGAACTGATGGGCTTGCGAACGATGGCTACATTGTCCACTTCCATCTCCCAGTCTGGTCCGATGCCTTCTCCAGAAGAATCCTATGGAAAAAATAATAAAAATAAGCAATAGAATAAATATTCATAACTAGTGAGTCAAAAGGCAATAATGTAAAGAAGGAAGGGTAAAGTGAAAACAAATGCCATCATGGAACCTACTTACATAATTGTGAGAAAATTCAACCATTAATCTTTCATCACCTAATGTAACCTAGGGGGAATACAGCTCTTAATAGATTAAATATTCTTTAAAAATTCGTATTAACACTTTAGCTCACTTTGCTGGCATTTCGTTCCAAATGTCGGAAAATGAGATTAAGGCATTTGAGTCATCAGAGTATGCATAAAGATTGTCACTTTAAGTAATTTGTAAATTTAGTGTATATACAGCAGTTCTCAAGATTATAGGAATCCAGGCAAGTCCATGATATGGGAAAATATCGAAAGCCTCAGCAAGTCGGCTGTTAGGATAAGACCGAAACTTTTCTTAAACTTTATCAAAAACGTCACCATTTTCAACTAATGTTACAGCATGATAGTTATCCATTTCAAGACAAAATTGGATAGAAGTTTAGATTTTTCATTCATTGAATTGCGCAAAGCCAAAAAGACAATAGTATCTAGAATTGGTCGCAATTTAAGCATTTACGAACCCTTCTTAAAATCCTCATCAAAATTCTAAACAGAGGCTAGTTCGTAGATATGAAGAACAAGATGATGGTTCGCTCTTTGTTTTGCAACTTGGTCGGAGCGTCAGGGAGACCTCGTCGAATGTACCTAATCCTGCGTCCTCATCGATAATATTCGTGATTTCCAGTATTGGAACATTGAATTGATACATTCCCAAATGTTTTGTTGGCATGGTCAGTGAGAGGAGCCGTTGCAAGAGCACTGGTACAACTTATCAAATAGGCAAGTGAGGGAAATACCCTTAACCAATTTTCTGTCCAGCCATATTGATATCACTCCCTATCTTCCTGTCACTTTAATAAGTTCTAGTTCTGTGCTTACGATGGCCGCTCTCACTGACGATGCCGGCGAAACGTTTGTAAATGTACCAAGTCAATGATCAAATAGTGGAAATCATAAATACCTTGGCAGAGAAGACGGGACTAGGTATGTTTCACAAGTTCTCCATGATACTCGGCCAAGTTTCGGAAAGAAAGTCGAACCAACAATGCAAAGATACTACTGTTAAGATGTAATTTAGGAAGACTAGCCACATAAAAAAGTAGTTGTAGAGGGTGAGATTACAGAAAACGTGGAAACGCATATTATGCAATAGTAATACTATTTGTTGAGGAAAGCACTTTTGCGATCTGAATCCAATTGGCATATACGAAAAAATTGAAAGAAATGACAAGATGGAAAATATAAAAATAAGATCTAAGGTAAAGGAAATGTGGGTGGAAAGTGCATAGACCCAAGAAGATGCTGCGTGACACAGCAAGTAAATCAGATATGTCAAACAACAGAGAGATACAGTTAACGTGGGTTAAACACGTCATTAATTTTACTCTGGTTCTAGCACAAGCCAAGTGAGGCTATCCTAGTCCTATGAGATTCGACCGACCCAGCCGTGAATCAGAAGAAAAGTGAAGAGGCAAAGAGACTTGTGAAATATTGAATTCATTCTCAATCGACGATACATTTTGACCTGACAGAAAACTAGGGGGTAATGCTGTAAACTGCCTATACAAACTATTGTGTGCAATTAACCTCCGTTTTATGGTCAGATTTAAAATTCCAAAACGGAATTAAATTTTGAATGCACTTTTATATAAAAAAACCTTCACTCTGTTTAGATCCAGATCATCAGCACTCCGGATCAGATCCTAAAGTCAACCTATGCAACGACAACTGTGGATTGAAAGACTCCCAGTTAAGTCTAGATCGTTTTGAAACCCCTCAGGGGCCAGACTTTAGATGTATCAGCAAAGCTAACAGATAAACTGACGCAATTGGTTATACCACTCACAAGTTCTGTCGCCATTGTAGAAGTCAAACGTCCACACAAACTTGAGGCAACCAATAAGAAAATGATAAAACTACAAAAAAATACGCTTCGCTACAGGAGCCTCCCCTATCCTCAAATTTTAGTTCACGATTGCCCGCTAGGGAATGACTTCTAAGTCCGAACAAGTGTTGGAAATATGGAAATTTGCGAATAAAACTTTCTGCCCCGATGCTCGTGAAGAAATCAACAGAAAAACTACCGGAGGCTATCGCGGTCGAGAAACTAAGAGCCCAACAGGTCTCGACTATATTCTAGGTTCTAGATCATCTATTCACCTTGGCCATTGGTAATAGAATAGAAACTAAGACTTGATATCAAAGAAATGTACATAAATTTTGGGTTAAAAAGACTAATGAGACAAACATAGGTCATGATGTATTATACAATCATTGAATTTATATTAAACCAAACTCTTGATACCATTTTGATCAATTGATTAGAAGAGGCAATTCAACATATAATAAATCTTAAGATAGTTTTCCTCAATAACAAAACGGTTGATTCCATTAGATGGTGTCAATCATGCAATAACGCGTGGACCACCAAAATAAATAGCAGCAGATAAAAAGTAAGGCACATAAATCAGGATTTTATGATTCCCAGGAATTGGTATTGTTCGTTTGTCCAAAAATTTATGGGAGTTCCAATATCATATGGCCACAAAGAAAGATAAGAATGAATGGAGATTCTCCGATGATTTAGACTCAATTTTGCCACAGACAGATACCCCTACCACGTGTCGCATTTTTTTAAAAAGTCAAAAACATTTTCTTAAAAAGCGACCTCGAAACTGCTTAGTTTCATATCCCTGTGCATTCAGATCACTCCGAAAAGACGGCATAAATTTAACAGATCTCATTCGGCCTCAGAAACCCTGCACACATTTTCCAAAAGCTTATAGACGAGGTCAATAGAAGACTAGACGGAATTTTCGTCTGCATTGATAATATTATAGTTGCTAGTGATAACATGAAACGGCCCAAGCATCAATTGTGGTCTTCTTCAAAAAAATTAGATGACTTCAACAGTTATTGCATTAATGGTCACGGCATGTAACCAAGCAAAAAGAGGATGATGAACATCACAAAATTTTCTTCTTTTCCGTCAAGGCGTGGAGAAGTTTCCTCGGCATGACATTTTTAACCAGAGTCTTATTCTGAACTGCGCGGATATGCTGAACTGGTAGAAGTAACTAAAAATTCAAAAAACAGCTCCTCATAACTTGGGCACAGGAATGTGAATACTGACAGGTCGCCACTCATCACTGGCCCAAACTGGTCATGACACAATTGCAAATGTCGCAATACAACAAAATCCAGTGTGATCCATCCACTGATAAGCGTCATCTTTATGTCCTAACATTAAGGGATTAATTTTCCAGCCTATTACTGATTTGGCAAATATAAATAGCAGAAAAGCCTCCATGGAAATAATCACAAGTCATTTAATCTGGTTAACGGTGGAAACTGTCCCGTCATAAAGAACAAGGAAAGAACGAAATCCACGCAATAAAGAACAATTTTATAGAAGCTGTTTGACCTTGTTTTCACAACATAGTCATATTAGCAGGACCTAGAGGAACGCTTCTTGTTTGGAGTCCATAGTATGCATGATAATTTAAAGTCGGACCGTGGGTTTGGGCGATTCCCGGATGTTTCACTGGCATCGTCAGTGAGTCTTGCCAGTCTCAGCACCACACTACAACCGGTCAGAGACAAGTGAAGTCGATTCTTTGACCAATTGTATGCTAAACAGTTTTGGTATCTTTTATTCTGTCCTGGGCTATTCACATATCCTATATCCTCGTATCACACCTTCAATATCATAATTACTTACTTGTTTATCTAAACCTATTTAAAACCTATTTACATTCACCCTGGGTTCCAAATCCCTCCCACTGTGCCGGGATTGTTGATTCAAGGCTGCAGTTTAATCCGAAATCCTCTCCTTTTAGATCATATCAGAGTCCTCTTGCTCCCTAGGATACTTCCCTTATCTATACCATACAAAAAGCCACACCATACTGGTCTCCATACCTGCGAATAAACATTTTTATAATTTATCGTTGATACTTAAGTTTTCGAGACTACCAGTAAATCATATATAAGATATTTTCACCCAATTTCGTTAAGGTAATGAAGGGCCGGTAATTGAAGTTTAAACTAATAATATGAGTAGATCATATTTTTTCATTGAATTTCCCATAAACTTACTTTCCTTGGGTGAGAGTATGGAAAGGTAGTGTACTCATATCATTTGGGAAAAATTCAGTCACGAGTCCTCCATCCATTTGTCAAAATAAAGTCATTACATCTTAATTTTATAGTCTATTGCAATTTATTTTTTTTCTATATCCGAAGTAACGAGACTACATTATAACGAAATAATGTTTGCTGTTATGAAAGTTTGGTTTAACAAGATTTGATCGTAGATATGCAGACTAAGACGGTGTGGCCTTAAGGAGATTTGGCCTGCATCAGAAAATAGACAAAAGCCTGCATCCTGCATATGCCAAAATAATAAGGTACAGATACAGCGGAACCCTAATCAGCACGTTCAAACCGGCCAGAGGGTTTTAGTCGTTCACACACTGGCCCTCCAAAGATATCCGATATCTGCTCATCATTAAGAGCCGGTTCACAGGGTGGCCAAAGGCTGTATCCACTCGAGGTACACGAACAGATACCATGATGATCAAGACATTTGCTTTACATTGGGCCTCCATAATTGGCAAGTCGACAGAGGATAATCCAGATTAGTACTGACCCAGACTAGTGTAACTCATAGACAAACCAGCTGTACCCCAACTAAAGGCCTGTTTAGGGTGCCAAAAGAACCAAGGCGCCTGAGTGGACAATCTGCCTTTAGTATTACTGAGCCAACGGACAATGATTGGGGGGGACGCCTAACGAGGTCCAGTGAATTCATTGCTTATAGGAATGCCAACTCTCTCTGAGACGATGAACAACCGTCAAGTATCTCGTTCGAACCTAGCTCAATTGAGAAAGTAGTACCAAAGACACCTTCTGCATGCAAATACGATCGAGTATTACCAACCGTCGCCAGTTCACAATGGCCTGTTGGCTTCTCACTTCAAATGAATACACTTGACTAACGTGCTACTATGTATTATCGTTGAACTAGATCAGAAAAAAGAGGCATGGGTAACAAAATAGTTTGAGTAGATTAGAATAAGTCACAAGCGAAAACAGAGTGAATAAATAAAGGGAGTGACATAGTTACAGTGTCACGAAGAAGAGTAAGGGATTAGAGAGAGAAGAGTGTAAGGGATTTTGTTCGATAATATTATGCCTCTGCATTCCAGCTTAATTAATTGCCTGTCTCTGAGCGTGTGTATATCAACATCCGATTGACTTCTAGATGGTAACCTGGCTTGGGGTGATCAAGCAGACAGATCAAATGAGAAAATTTGTGGATTCTGGTCGTAGTGAGAGCTTGATCATAAGAAAGGAAGCGGTGTCATGCACCGAGGAGAATCGATGTTACCAAGAGCTGTAGGGCTCTTAATTTAAAAACGTGATTGCCATGATCATTCCTCTAAGAACATCAGAATATAGCTATTGCGCAAAGTACAAAATTAAAATGTTTCTAACACCACTAGATCGGGCTTAAAAAACAAGTCGTAGTGGACGATTGTGCTTTGAAATTAGAGGATAGGGAAAGCTTCAGCAGCGAAGTATATGTGTTTGAATATGATTTTTATCATTTTCATT